ACTAGTTGGCACGATGAAGGGGTAGTTGAGCGACCTGACCACTAGTATATCGGCCACGATAGAAGTTCGGTCGTCGAGATGTAGGATCACACTAGCTCTACCGAGAGTCGATGATTGGTGTGAGGGGTTACCGAAGATGATGGTCCGTGGATCAGGGACTAGTGGGAGGACGAGACCAGCATCACACCATCGATTATACTCATCTTCGGCACATAGCGGTTGTTCAGCACCAGAATCCAGTAGAGCGTTAGTAGCTACACGACCTTCGGGCTTGGGCGAGTCGTAGTCAGGTGATGAGATGGCTAATTTTATCATGGGTAATCCAGACCCATCGGAGTCAGTGATCTGGACTACATTAGCCTGAATCTTGGCCCCTTCGGTACCAGTAGAGCTTGAAGGGGTGGTATCGGGTTTCTGAGGTAGTGGCTCGGGACAAGCACGACTCATATGACCTCGCTTCCCACAGCGGTAGCAATTGCTGTCTCGGCAGTGAGCTTCTGGGAACCGTACGGGATCATGATGAGTCCCGCATCGAGCACAACGGAGGGATTCGAAGGCCATCTTAGATTGTTTGCAAGAGCCAGTACTGTGGTCGTGGCAGAGACAACGTTGACACCGGAACTTCCGTATGAAGTCGAGGTTGAATATAGACCCGTCTGTCACACCATCGGCAGGGCGTTGGGCTGTAGTGTCCCAAAATGTAGAAGGCTTTGGACGAGTTGAGGCCGGTTGTGTAGGAAGAGGTTGATGAGCCTGAGTTGTAGTCGCCGGACCCGCAGCAGTAGCAACATTAGTGGTGATTGACTTCCCAGCAGCGTTAGCCTTCCACGTCTTCTTGAGTGATCGGTAGAAGCCTCGAGATCTCTCACGCATCTGGACGAAGGTCTTAACGTCTTGGGCAGGGGCCCGATCTATGTCATCTTGGCCTCGCTCATCCAAACTGTTGTACCAGTGGGCGGCGGTCTCGCGGTCATCAATGGAGCCCTTCTCTCTCTGTATGGCACGGATAAGGGTAGTGAACCGACTGAGATGGCCGTCAAAGTCAGCACCGGGAGAGAGTTTAAGAAGTTGTAGTGCCTTGTAGTGGTCGAATAAGCCGGATGATTTAGCAAACTCATCCATGAGATGGTTCCACACCTTGTCGAGTAGCCTTTGGAAGTCGTTCACACTGGTACATTGAGGCGTGTCTTGCGCATCACCATATTGCAGCCGAACACTGTGGAGTTGTGAACACTCGGAGAGAGGTTATGTAGTAGGAAGAAGTATCGGGTAACCGCATCACCGTAGAGGTACATATTATGTTGGCGAACCAGTTGAGAGAATTCAGCGAAGGATCTCGGATCATC